CTCTCTCTCTCTCTCTCTCTCTCTCTCTCTTTCTCTTTCTCTCTCTCTCTCTCTCTCTTTCTCTCTGGGTAATCACTTAATTAATGAGCAAATTATCTGGGCCTCAGGTTGCATTTGGTGAAAACACTTCCTCACAGGCTCATGTAGGCCGGTGAGTCAGTTCAAACTCTCAGGCTAAAGACACACAGATATCTCACTGATTGTTCAAATTTCACATTTGACCTTGAAAAACAAACATCAACTCCTAAATTAATCATTTAAAACATACTTATTTACATTTGCTCCCCTCTTGAGATGCTTCGTGCCCCAGAATGCTTATGCATGCACTCTCACACACACAGAACACCAAACACTGTGTGTGCATCATCAGTTCAGATCTCCGGAAAAAGATCAGTTCATGCGCCCCTGACTACTTAAACACACACACACAAAACTCAGAGGGTGCTTCGAGCGACACCATCAGCAGCTCTGCCATCACTCTCACCATCTCGTGGTGGTCAGCGGCTGAGGCTTTGTGGGATATTGATTCTCCCTATCCAGAGACGGTTTCCATAATTGGTTCAAATGACCGGGTGCAGAGAGAAATGGCTCTCTGCTGAAAACCATTTCCCAGCCCTGCTTGGAGCAGAGCCAAGCTCGGGCTTGTTCGGATGCGTTCCAGCCACAGCCTGACTGGCAGCAATTAGGGGTGTCTGAGCCAAGCTCAGCTTGTGCTCCGCACAAACACCCCTAATTACTGCCAATTAGGCTAGGCGGGTAGGCAGATTTGAGAACGCAGGGGGATGTTCAGGCATGGGTGGGCATGGAAACAATTTTCAAGGGCTTAGAACGTGACTGGATGAAAAGGTTAATGCTTTGGGTTGCAAGGGGATAATAACAAAAGAAGGGGAAGCAGAGCTCCAGTTCTCACCTCCAGGGATGAGCCTGGCTTCTTCTTCAGCTCTTCACATTTCCTAAATTTGCAGATCTGGTGGCCTGTTTTGCGGTTCCGACAACTGCTGCAAACACCACAGTTGATTAGCCGCCTGCAGGGCGCGCACACCCCACACCTTTTCCTTTTCTTCTTCGCTGGGTTTCCACTGGATGCTGAGGAATTATTCTGTGGGCAGTCTGCCAGATTGGCAATTTGAAACGCACTGTCTGTAACGGCTGCTGAGGCTGCGGGGGAGTGAAGGGCTGTCATGACGATGACCCCGGGAGGTAATGAGATGCCCCCTAAAGCCGGAATAGCGGAAAAAGTTCCAACGCGTTCTGGGAGATTCATTATCTCTGCTTCAGCAGCGCCGCATTTCAGCTTGTTCATGCATTCTCCTGCTAAAGGTCTGCAGTGTTCAGGGGATAAGGTAGAGAGGAAATTATTATTTGCCATTTGCAGCGTTTCTGGCGGCACGCCAGGCTTCCCCGGCCTCTGGGAGTCATTTCTATGCATGCTGGTCCTATTAGGGTTTATTGCTGCTGATTTCCTTCCCCAGAGCATGGCGTTATCACAGTTCCAAGGGGACATACCAATTCTGGCACTGGGAAAAATGGGCGTTGTGATGCGGGCAATTTTAGCAGTCTGCGGAAATGCCCCATTGGTTTTATAAAAGTTCGCAAAAGACCTGTACCTTTCCATTTCGGCGTTATAATCCAAAAGCTGGCTTAATCCACCATCCTGAAGGTTATCCTTTTGTAAGAGCGACACATCTGCATTCTGTCCGTTCTCTATGCAAAGCGCATTGTTTATGTTAGACATGGCGGAGGGGTACAGTCACTGTGTTTTGGAGGAGAGCGAGAGGTTGCAGTGGCCTTTGTCGAACGGAAGCAGGTTACGAACAATGTGTCACCATCCTGGTATATCCTCTTTAGCGCTAAAAGCAGAAAACAAGAAGACAGAAAACAGTTACATATAAAAGGGAGAGGATTTCATTCAGATCAGTTTTTGATTTCTCTTCTTCAACTCCTCCTCTGGGAGCTTTGTTTACTTCGTAGAACTATTAAAAACAGAACTGATGGCAGGAACACGTTCGTTTTGACAGACCAACATGGCATTATCATAATAAAGGAGGAACATGTCAGAGCATCTCTTCAAGACAGTTTAATGAGCTTTTTAAACAATAAGTTTGATCAGAAACATGGTGAGATATATTCAACTGAGAATCTCAGCTCGAGTTGGAGGCGAGCTTCAATGTTGAAAACGATGACAGCAGCAGCTACAACGATAATTCACCTCATCTCCTGCGATATTGGCATTTGAAATTATTCATGTCCAGACAGGAGAGCGGGGAACGTTGTCAGATACTGTGAAATATATTGATCCTATCTTCCTGTAAAACGGCGGCGGCGGCGGCAGAGGTCGTCCGATCGTGTAAACAAGACTCTGTCCTGTCTCTGAGCTGCACCTGGTGCTCATTCATGGCCTCTATTACAGTGACAACCCTCAGTGATAGCCACCGGTGAATTTACAACCAGATCATGGACCAGACCGACCACAGTGTCAGCTGCCTCAGGATAGGACGTGTGTGCGTGTGTGTGTGTGTGTGTGTGTGTGTGTGTGCATGTGTGTGTCCATTTCCTATCTCTGTCTCTCCCCTACAGCCTGTCTGGATTTGGTTTCCACAGATAAAAGCCCATTAGACTCATCTCTCCCTGGTTCCATTACCTTGTTTTTTTTTTCCTCTTTCTTTCTGGGTTTTCTCTTTTAATTACCAAAGCTTATTTCTAAAGCATTTCACGTTTTAAAAGAGTGAAATTTACATGGAGCTGGTGTTAAGCCCCCACAAGTATACACATGTCCAAAGGAAAACAAAAAAAAAATGTGAGCACAAATCTGATCCAAAGTGACAATGCACACTTGGATATTTCAGACTTGGAGGTTCAGTGTGGATGTGGTCTCCAAAACAAGCAGCAGCTGCCCGTAAACAAAACCTCCTTGGCTTAATGATCGGCCCTCCTCAGGGTCATTATTACTTAATCAATTCACCCCTGGAGCGGAATACGCAGCCCAAAGGCAATCAAGTCACGGACATTGATTTTTTCCGCCTGTAAACAAAGTTTCGAGAGACAGAAATGTTCAATACTTGGAGCTGGAGAGAGACAGAGAAGAGAGGAGGAGGAGGAGGAGAGAGAGAGTGAGGGAGAGGGGGGAGAAGGGGGGGGGGTTAGAGAGTGGAGATGAAACGGAGGAGAGAAAAGTACAACGCACAATGATGCCATTATTTCCACTTATTATCAGTTCTGTGGTGGGCATTTAGCTCATGGATTTAAAATAAGAAATAAGGAGCAAGAGTGCAAATAATAATAATAATAATAATAATAATAATAATAATAATAATAATAATAACCTGGCACCGGAAAAGATCGCAAAATATAAAGAGACATGAGCATCGCCTACCTGGTTTCCTGTTGAGAGGAGCTCCCAAAAAAAAAGGGGATGCTGTCAGCCTGAGACCGTGTAAAGGCACATCACTGCGAGGCGAAATGTGTGTGTTTGTGTGTCTGTGTGTCAGGAGGAAGGGGGGGGGGGTGGATAACGCAAAGACGAGCTGCCTGAGGAGATCAGGTCGACCGGATGAGAGTGTGTTCACAGCGCTCAAAACAAAAGCATCATTTCTTATCCAGCTTCCCTCTCAAGCTGGAGGAGTAAGGTACAAAAAAAATTAATACAAAAGGTAAAGAAGTGCGTTAAGTCAGCCAAAAGGTGTCAGACAACCAAAACGAAAAGAAAAGAAAAGAAAAATAACCCAAGAAGGAGTGAAATGACAGAAGAGGGGCTTCCTTTCCTCCGGATCCGGGGGGCTGTATTGTGTGCGTCTGCCTCGCTCTCCGCTCGGTCCGTGGCTCCTGTCGCTGTGTGGCTGATAGATGCTGAGGTGAGGAAGCGCGCGGCTGTGGACACCCACTGATCATTGGCTGGAAATTACTATAGAAACACTCGGGAGGGGAGGAGGGGGGAGGGATGGCTCAGGGCGCCCCGGGAGGGAAACATCCATGGGGGGGATAATATCCGCGCGCCTCTTTTCCTCTTTAACGCAACGTTTTAACAGGATTTGTCTCGTGGCGGGACGGTGAGCGCGACTGGACCGAGGATGGATGGTTGGCCGCCAGCGCGCGCGCGCCTGCCTGGCTGCTTTGGGTTCGGTGGAAACTTGTCAGATTAATTTGAACAGAGCAGAGCTGCGATGAAGATAAAATGTCTCTGCCGGGTTGTTAGCCCACCTCCTCTCCCTCCCTCACTATCTCCGTCCGGCCACAGCCGTAATTATCGAGACCTCCGGGACGCAGCGCGTCATAAATCCCGCCTGCCGGTCACTCCAAGCTGCTGCTGCTGCGACTGACAACATTTATCCCTTCTGTCCCCGTGTGAGGCTCTGTGCTTTCCCTTCATGTTGCTGCTTTTTAGTTCCAGTTATAATCATGGCTCCAATCAAATGTAGGCTATCAGATGCTTTACCCGGCTCAGTTTGTATCCGGAGCTTCAGTTTGGAAAATAAGAAAAGTAAAAAAAAAAAAAGAAATAAAAACAGAAATGAAATCACAAACATTTGAAGGCAGGTGTGTGTGGAAGACCTATGTGTACAGTTACCACATTGCATATTTTCTGTGTGGCTTTAAGTTTGTAACTGGCTGATTGCACTAAGGTTAGGACACGACACAAATAATAAGCTGCTCAAAAACATCTGAGTCTTTGCTTTACCTTTCAAGCAGCCCTAGAAGACAACTTCTCTTGACTCTTGAGGAAGTTTCAGATGAAGCAATAACAATAAAGTGCTATCCATCAATTCATCCGTCTTCTGCCACTTACATAGGCCTATCTGTGGCTGGGTCATGGAGGCATCAGGTCCAGGAGAGAAACCCAGACATGTCCCTCGCTTTCAGCAACAGAGCCTCTCTAGTTCTTCCTATAAGTACTTCCTCACTGAGGTCCTTATCCATCAAACCGTCACCTGTTCCGTTCTACCATCACTCACTTTCTCTCGAACTCCTCTGAGGCAAGGTGTTTGCACAAAAGTGTGTGATTTTCAAAAACTTGTCACACAAAATGCTGCTGCACAGCTTAATGACTTCAAAAGATTTGGTTATTTTCTTATGATTTCAAAATGCCACCTATCTCAGCCCAGTAAGGCACTGGCTTGTCTAATTTCACAACCTCACCTGATAGGGTAGTAATTTCAGCCTATGTTACTGTTTTTCATCAGTGGACAAAAGACATTAGTGCTAAAGGCACRGATATAACAGACTCTGTTTTAACCAGTCAGAAACAACATTTAAGACTTCTGTTTAATATTATTTTAGTCATTGAAAATATTGAACTTAATCCAGGTCCAGATAAAAATGTTTTCATGTCCACTTTTTTTTATATTTTATGGGAAGTAATAATTGTGTTTTTTAATAATTATCTTGACCTGGGTTTGTGCACAGGTGTATCTTATATAAATCCAACTCAGTTACAGTCCACACAGGGATCTATATTATATCCTGAAAAGGTTAGACAACCTCCTGTTATGTCAAGTCTGAACACTTATCAGTAAGAAAGCAAAAGTGATTTTCCTGTCTAAAAATAAATCCAGGGACGCTAAATCAACTAGGTAAAATTAGAGGCTTTAAAATCTGTCATTTAAATATGAGAARTCTTGTACCTAAACTGGATGAATTCAAAGTAATACTTGCTCAGACACAAGCACATGTTATGGCTATATCAGAATCATGGCTGACTCCTGCTATACCGTCACGGGGTTCTTCTTCAAGCCAACACCGCCAAAACACAATAAAAAAAATCCACTGGCAAGTCAGGAAACTTTC